TTAAAACAACTTCACTGAGGCTATTTTATGCATCATAAGATATACCCATTTCAAGTATACAATTCGGTGATTTTTAGCAACCTTACCAGTGTTTCAGCCATTTCCGTAAATTCGTTCTAGCACATTTTCTTCCCCAGTAAGATCCTTCATGCCCATTCACAGTTAAATTCCATCCCCTCCTCCCTCTGGGCAACCATGAATCTACTTTCTGGCTCTATAAATTAGCCTTGGTCTCATGTCTATTGATGTGTATTTCTTTGTAGCCCCAGTGAGGTAGCTACAATGATTATATCCTCATGTTACAGACGAGGAAATGGGTACACAGAGACATTCAGTGACTTGCTCAAGGCCATGCATCTAGCTTGAGCCCTGGGATTCCAACCCAGACAGCCTGGTTCCAGGGCCATCTTAACCCCTGTACTCATCTCTAGGTGTTTTCTTTCTTAATGAACTTGCAGAATAAAATTCCACCATGACATCCTTTACATTTTGTTTGAAGTTTTACTGGTCCGTGAGGTCCTCAGGTCTGGAAACCACTGACCTGACTGTCCCATTTCTGATCTTTGCATTCCCTGCTTTCAGATGTGTGGGCTAATGAGTGACCAGGGAGATAAACATCCAAGGTGAGCTCTGAGGCTGCTTCCCTGGACTAAGGGATGCCCACAATGAAGGGGGCACTCACTAGTGAGCAAGCAACTAGAGTCTGGGGACCAGAAGTCCTTTCTTCCCTTGCTGGGAGGGGCTCCTACAGAGTGAATACTCCAGCTTCCCTCTGCTTGTCACCTTTCGGCCTCTGCCCACTTCCATGGGAAGGAGGGGCTGAGAGAGGTCTGGTGGTTCTAGATGGAACACATGTCTGTTCTGGGGTTAGCTGGTTCCTCTGCCCCTCTCTCTACCTGTCTCATATTCCAGGACTGCCTTACCAGGTTAAATCACCCCTGCTAGCAGAGACGCTTCATTCCTCATCAGCGTGGCAGGGAATTTATTCTAGAGGATTGGTTCCTGTTTCAACCTCACAGTCACCAACTTCGACAACAAGGGCTTCTTCATCTACATGACCTCAGGGCAGTCTTGCTTCCCACCGAAGCTGTTTGGGCCTTGTGACTCTGTGTGGATGGGCATTTTTCTGTGAGAAGAAAAATTCAGAGTATCATCACCATGTCAGAGAGGGCTTCTTTAAAAAAACAAAAACAAAAACAAAAAACAAATAATAATAAAAAAACTGGATAGTGACAGCATCTCTTTTTGAACAGCCTATAAGAGCCAGGACTTTGCTGGTACTTGACTTTCATTAGCTCATTTCATTCTTACAATGGAACTGTGAGGTAGGTGCTAATATGACTCCTACCTACACCTGCTAAAAGTGAGGTCTAGAAAAAGTGAAGTAACCTGTAGGTAACCGAAAAGTTTCTGGGTTTTCTCTTCACACCTTCCCCCCTTTTCTTTGAGGTAAAAATCACATAACCTAGAAATAACCATTTTCAAGCATCCAATTCAGTGGCATTTAGTGCATTCACGGTGTTGTTCATCTGTCAGCTCTGTCTAGTTCCAAATTTTCCTCATGCCCAAAGAAGTCCCTGGATCCATCAAGCAGTCACTCCCGTTTCCTCTCCCCCCAACCCCTGACAACCCTTAACCAGGTTTCTGTCTCCGTGGATTTGCCTGTTCTGGATAATTTGAGTAGATGGAATCAGACACAATGGGACCCTTCTGTGTCTAGCCTCTTGCACCTAGTGTACCGTTCTCAACCTTCATCCGCACTGCAGTATGCTTCGTTCATCCCCACTGATGTCCAACAAGATTCATCAGAGGGATTTACCACATGGCATTTACCCACTCACGCACTGATGGACGTTTGGGCTGTTTCCACCTTTTGGCCGTTGCGAATAGTCCTGCCGTGAACATACGTGTTCATGCACTTGTTCCAGTGCCTGTGGTCTGTTCTTTTAGGTCTCTTGCTAGGAGTGGAATTGCTGGGTTGTATGGTGATTCTTTGTTTCACTTCTTGAAGAAATGACAAGCCATTGCCACAGTGGTTGCAACATTATACATTCCCATCCCAACATGCAAGAGTTCCAGTCCCTCCATATCGTTGCCAACACTTACTGTTTTCCTTTAAAACAGAACAACAACAACAAACAAACAATTATAGTCATCCTAGTGGGTATGAAGGGAATCTCCCTGTGATGTTGATTTGCCTTTCCCTAATGACTAATGGCGTTAGGCATGTCTTCATGTACGCATTGGCCATGGGTATGTTATCTTTGGAGAAATGTCTCTTCATGTCCTTTCCTCATTAAAAAAAAATTTGTGGGGGGGGGTCACCTGCGTGGCTCAGTTGGTGGAATGTGTGACTCTTGATCTCAGGGTTGTGAGTTCAAGCCTCCTGTTGGGTGTGGAGCCTACTTTAAAAAAAAAAAAACTTTTTTAGTTTTAAGTATTTCTTATAAATTCTGGATACTAGACCCTTATCACCTATATGATTTGCAGATATTTATCCCCATTCCATAGGTTGTTTTCACCTTCTTG